CCACACTGCAAAAACTCAAAATCTTGCCAAGTATATTTTTCTAATTTCTAGTCAAAATATCTCAGCTCACTTAATATAAGACAAAATTACCTAAAGACCAAGATTTAAGTAAGATACAGGAGCTTGTTTTTAGACAGTGCATCTTGAATATCTTGTTAAGTGAAACTGTCTTAAAAATATTTGTTTTGAGTCATATCTCAGATGAAACAAGCTTTTTTGACATTTTGACAGTTTTTTAAGCTGCTGTGTTATTTGTAAAAGATGAATCGTCTTGTTTCAAGAAACAGACTTAACTTGAATTGAGACAAATCTGCTTCATTGAAAACTGCAGGCCAACATGCCCAACTCACAACAACTCACAATGACATGACAGCAAAAAAAAAAAAAAACAAACAAAAAAACGTAATTTATTTACGTATAAACAACTTTACCAACATACAAATTTGTATGTATTCCTATTTAACTTATGCATATTAAAATCGTGGTTTTGACTCTATTCAATTGTCTTATCAATTAAATTTTCAGTCTCATTTATTAATAGTTTAACGTTACTCATAAATAATAACATTTCGTTCTGTTCGTGCCTTTTGCTGCAAACTCGCTTTGAAGCATTAGCCTACATGGTGTTTAACAATAATATACTTTAAAACCTTCCCATACGGAAAAGGTTTGCTAAAAACTCCTGTGATTTGTATATGTTCCAACAGAATATTGTAAGGGATATATGCAAAAACCACATATATAAATTGCATAATATTAATGTATTTTTAATCATATTATGTAATATGTGTCCTACAAACAACTAAAGCAATATAGATTTTCATGAAGTAAAAACAAAAAAATGCAAATTTAATATGAATTTCCAGCATGGATGTGTATAAACAGAGGACAAGATAAGAACCAGCATGAGGGAAGTACAGCCTACTGATTGATTTATTTACTGCACTGAGTCGAGGCCTATGCCTGTATCAGTCATGGTTACATACTGTATAATCTGTCTTAGATTAAAAACACAACATTTAAACTACACACACGCAAGCGCACATTTTAATTACAAAATTATTTTTATTAGAATGTGTTCTACAAGATGCAGTTCCATATTTCACATATCAATAGTTTTCATTTTATATCCTGCATCGATTTCATTTTCATTTGTGACAATTTCTCTAAACTTTATCACAGTACTACTATGGTACAACCTACAAACAAAAAACTTTCCTAAATGTTGAAGTGTTGAAGTCTTTATTAACTAAATCTCTGAATATAATTTACTCAATAGTTTGAGTTGAACATACCGAAATAAATGACTAAAACTCCAACAATTAATTTTGTCTGAAATTTACAGTTATATTTAAGTTTTTCACTAAAATAGGCTAATTTAGTTTTTGACTAACCAATTATTAATTTAAAATACACTTAGCTAATATTTGTGAAATTTCCATCACAATATTTGAGACTGGATAATTAAACTGATCTGTCTCAAGAACCACAAATATTTCTAAAATAAAATCAATATTATTATTTAACACGCATAAGAAATTAATTAAGTTTACTCAATTAAAATGTATTTTACTGTCTATGATTACAACAACGCACCCCTCCCCACCCTCTGACGTGACGACAACTCAACGGTTGAACTTGAGTGAGCGCTGTTTGAACTTGCGGTTGCGCGCTGTTTGAACTCTCCCAGTCCAGAAAAGAACAGATCTCTTCTTCTCCTCTTCTCTTCTCATCGGCGCAGAATTGGAGCATTTCCACCTGAAATTAAGGTTTGTTTGTTTTATTTTATCTGTATAATCATTAATATGCTTTAAATAATTTTATTTAATGAAAAAAGAACATACAGAGACGCAATGTTACTCACCTTAAACGAGTGTCGACTTGCGCCTGCCTTTTCGCGTGATTGTAAGGCCTTGCATAAAAAAAAAACACGACTATATTCTTAAAGATAATGGATATAACTAATTTGGATGATAAAATGTCCTCAGAACTGTGCACTGGTTGTTTATTGGCAGGTTATGGAGTCAGTCGCGTCGCAGCATTTTTCGGCTGTGAGTGACGCAGGACGGCGGTCTAAATTTAGAAGTTTCCCCGCAGAGGCGAGTCCATCTCCGGCATGGGAACCAGCGCTGACCCGGTGAATACTGGATAACAGACCGGTTATTACACTTGAATTACTTTAATGTTTAGGCCTAAATGTTTAATTTTTACATCGAAAATGTTTCTTACATGAGTTTAGATGTAGTCAATATTGTATAACTTATGTGTTAAAAATAGAATAAAATATGTTTGCTGTAATGTTAGGATATTAATTGACAATAAAGGCCGTGTCATGTAGTTATGCTGGTGGTTGTATGGAATATTTTACAAAGGTTTAGAGGAAATAAAAAAAGTTAATATTACTGCCATATAAACACAGTTTATATTACTCATAATTATTTGTTTTTAAATGTTTCCCCCCAATTATTTCTACTCAAGTTTATTTGTTAATGTACCAAATGCAGTTACTCAGATCTATTTAATTTGTTTTACTAACATTTACTCAGTTAATACAGTGTAAGTAATTGCTTTCACTGCTTAAAAATTTAATCAATATTCTAAGTTTAAAAAGGTTAGTAAATCATATTAAATGTTTTTAGAGTGCATCAACACCAGAGTTCATGTCACATACTAAAACATATTCGAGCCAATTTTAATCACTGTTCTAGAAACATATTTGATTCAACTTTGTTCATTTGCAATAATATGTTGTTGTTTTTTTATGAATTTTTTTCTTCTGCTGAACAAGAAGAAAGATATTTATTTGGTACCGGTTTTGACATTTTCTCACTAAATAAATTATTGCGATTTAAACATGTAACGTTATGTTTGTTGTTTTTATTTATAATTGTAACGTTAGTTACATAGTTTTAAGAAATGGGTTAGGGTAGGATTAGTGGCTCAAACTATATTTTAATGCTTTATTGTTAATAAAACTGCCATTGCCCTACACATTATGTTCATTACGTTTTATCCTTTTAAAGGGATTGTTCACTTTGAAATTAATTTTTGATATGTTTTCGCTTACCTCAAGGGCATCCAAGATGTAGGTGTCTTTGTTTCCACAGTATTTTCAACTTTGACATTTTTGGTCGAACCTGTGTTGTCTGTCAGTCATATAATGCAGGTTTAGGGGGTCCACCTCAAAGAGCATGCACAGAGAAGTCAAAATTAAACATGATTTAATGACTCTTGAATGTAAGTACACACTGATGGCCAAAGACACGAAATGAGCGGAGGGGGTGCGAAAACGAACAGTATTTATATAGTTTTTACCTCTTGTAAACAGCCATGTCGAACTGATCTGAATCAGATGTTGCTGACGCGCGAGAGATCACTTCTGGCGTAATGTTGGACACGGTTCGGTTCAGTTTGACATCTGATTCAGATCAGTTTGACATGGCTGTGAACAAGAGGTAAAAACTATATAAATACTGTTTGTTTTCTCACACAAAACGCTCGTTTCGTGTCTTAGGCCATCAAATTTACGAGTCATTAAATCATGTTTAATTTGGACTTCTCTGTGCATGCTCTTTGACGTGGACCCCCATACCTGCATTATATGACTGACAGACAACAACGGTTTGACCGAAAAATGTCAAAATTGAAAATACTGTGGAAAAGAAGACACCTACATCTTGGATGCCCTTGAGGTAAGCTAAAACATCAAAAATTAATTTCAAAGTGAACTATCCCTTTAATATTGTCTATAAAATCGGTATGTTTAGGTGTGGGAGTAGGGTAAAGAGATCTTTCATTTATAATCTATAAAATATTCTACAATGTTTTTATATTGCAGCTCCATAAATACTTTTACCGTTTTGTGGCAGTCCTCTGAGAATTTTTGCGGTTTAAAAAAATTAAATAAAAAAGGTTAAATGTAAGTCTATTTTTCACTTTTTCTGTCTAGTAAACAGTAGTTAATGTCTTGAATCTAGTAGGTAAAATGTCTTGAATCTAGAACCATGTCACTTTTGTTGAGCTTACAAGAAGGTATACACTTGAGATGATTACAGTATGGTAAATTATGGCTCATTATGGCAAAAGAGGACTGCCTAATATGAGTCAGGAATGCTAACTTCAAGGCATTTTGTCTTAAAATGCCAGTTTCCAATCTTATTTCAAGTTGGTGGTGACTTATATCTAGAAGAGTGTAACAATTATAGAACTAAAAATTAGTTAAATACACTTGAAACAAAGAGGATGACAAAAGAAAATGCTACTTTTGAGGGGAAAATGCTATTTTTTGAGCATGACAAGCTTATTATGAGACACAAACATCACAATACTAGTATAATATAGCTAAAAATGAGTTTTTCCCTGCTAATTTCAAGATCACTCATATCTTTTAAGGCTTAAATATAATGTCTTATTTCAAGAAATCTTACCAAGAGAATTTTCACTTGTTCCATTGGCAGATTTTTTTGCTTATTA